CTCAATATCAAGAAAACAAAAATTGTCACCACTGGACCAAATAAGCAACATCATGATAGGTGGAGGGGAAAACAGGGTAAAATTCTCAATAACTGCATCTTACTTGAATCCACAATTAATTCCCCTGGAACCAGAAGTCAAGAGATCAAAGACATAAAATATGGGGCAAACCCTCTGTCAAGGATCTCTCCAAATTACTGAGGAGCAATGATGTCATTATGAAGACTAAGGTATGTCTGATTCAGGCCATGGTTTTTCAATTACTTGCTAGGCCTCTGTGAGCGGGACAATGAATAAGGATGACAGAAGAACTGATGTCTTTTAGTTGTGGTGCTGGAACCAAGTAGTGAATATCCCATGGACTGCCAAAAGAACAGTTTGGAAAACATGTAGCTACAGTACTCCTTAAAGGCAAGGATGATGAAAAGTCATCTAACATAAATTGGGCATGCTCCTATGAGAGGCTAATCTTTGGAAAGGGACAACACGCATGGAAAGGTGGAGAGAGGAAGACACTCAAGATGGATTGGCACAATGAGTGCAGCAATGGGCTCAAGAGCATCAGAGATGATGAGGATGGCACAGATGCAACACGGTTCAGACCTGTTGTTCACAGGGTCACTATGAGGTATACTTGAGTCAATGGCACTGAACTACAACAATATTTGCAGAAAATTCAAACAACATTCACATCTCACATCACAGAAACGAACTCAAGATGGGTCAGAAACCTAGGAATGAAAATCTAAAATTTTGAAGTTCAAAGAACAATTTGGAGCCCTTATCTACGCATAGTCTGATATAAATGAAAGTACATAATCAGCAAAAAATAAGCTAGATGATCGGGACCCTCTAAATAGGAAATCCTTGTTGCTGTATGTGCTACTGCATGGAACCCACTTATAGCTGACTCTTTAGCAGGTTTTCTGATGCAGGAAATTACACGGGAGGAGACTTCCCCCTTTTCTCCTACAGAACATCTGGTGGATTTCAATATTGTACCTTTGGGTGGGCGGCACATGTCTTTACTAAGTCATCAGAGTTCCCCTATTAAATTTTTGTTGTTGTTTGTTGTTATGTGCTGTCGAGTCACCTGTGAATCATAGCAACTCTATGCACAACAGCCCTAAACCCTGCTCTGTCCTGTGTCAATCTCACTGTCTCCGACACACCTACCCCTGTTACCCCAGTCACTGAATCAATCCACCTCATAGAGGGTCTTCCCCTCCTGCACTGTCCCTCCACCCTCCCAAGCATGACGTCCTTCTCCAAGGACCCATCCCTCCTTGCAACATGTCCAAAGTATGTCAGATGAAGCCTCAGAATCCTTGCCTCCAAGGAGCAGCCTGGTTTAACCCTGTCGAGCATGAACCTGTTCATTTTCTTAGCAGTCCATGGTATATTCAATACTCTTCTCCAACACTGCAGCTCAAAGGCATCAATTCTCCTTCTATCCTCCCTAGTCATTGTCCAGCTGTCTGATGCATAGCAAGTGATTACAAAGATCATGGCCTATATCCAGAGTGGCACCATTGCTCTTCAGTACTCTGGAAAAATCCCTAACAGCAGACTTTCCCATCACAATACTTCTTTTCATTTCTTGGCTGCTGGTGCCAAGAGTGTTGACTGTGGAGCCAAGCAAACTAAAGCTGTTGACAATCTCAGTCTCTTCACTATTTTATCATGATACTGCCAACTGGCCCAGTGGTGAGAATCTTTGTCCTCTTGACATTGAGCCTCAATTCATATTGAAGGCTACAGTTTGTGACCTTCTGCAGCAAGTGCTTCAGGTCCTCCTCAGTTTCAGTAAGCAGGGTTGTGTCATCTGCATAACGCAGACTGTTGATGAATCTTCCTCTAATCTCGATGCCACACTTCTCCTCAGAGCCCAGCCTCTCAGATAATCTGTTCCGCATTTAGGTTGAAAAGGTATGGAGATAGGGCACATCCTTGGCCTACACCCTTCTCAATTTTGATCCATGCAGTGTTTCCTTGCACTGTTCTGATGACTGACTCCTGGTCCAAGTGTAGGTTTCGCCTTAGCATGATCAAAATACTCCTGCAGAAAACGAAAAGGATAACCTACAGACTTGCTATTGTGTGTTGAGTTCAAAACTGACCCACAGCTGACCCTCCCAGGGGTTTGCAGAAACAGTACATCACACAGGAGTGACTGCCCATCCTTTTCCTCATAAAGAACAGTGACCATTTAGGATTGCACTACAGTTTCTTACTGGTAGGTCATTTGGCAATGACAAGAGACACAGCTCTAAAATATATAGAAAACATCAACACTTCAACAAGAAAAAAAATCCCAACTACAAAACGGGCCAAAGATATGAAAAGGAGTGGGGGAAGGACTCAAGAAACAACAAACCCAAACAAACAAAACACCACTTCAACGCAGATAACCAACAAACGTGAAAAAAGAATGCTCAAGATCATCAGCTAGTAGAGACGCAAACAAAAACAGTAAGGAAATACCACAGCTTACTTACTATCTTAGGGGAAAAGAGAGACTTTTTCTTAGTCAAGCAGAGCTGTTGCCATTTTCCATAAATTCTTATGATCTGTGACAGATGTATGCCATTGAATCAGAGTCAATTCATAGCTGATGCCCCAGCAGATTTTCAGAGGAAATAAACCACATGGGTGGAGATGTCTCATCTTTCCCCCATGGAGCAGCTTGTTGATTTGAATAGCATACCTTTGGGTTGGTAGCACAATTCCTTCCCATTAAACCACCAGAACTCCAAAATCTACGACTGTTGCTATGCACCATCAAGTTGGAAACGAATCATATTTCATCCTTCAGTGGGTTTTCAGAAGCAGTATAAATGCATGGGAGAAGACTGTTCATATTTCTCTGGTGAAGCAGGTGATAGATTTGAACCACATGCCTGCAGGTCCTCACCACTATACTGCTCTCTTTAGCCACAAAACAGGAACAGTATCAACCACCTCCTGACTACTGAAAAAAACCAGGGCAATTAGTCCGGGACATGACTACTAGCCAGAGCTCCTCAGGGAGACTGGTAACACTCATACACTGCTGATGGGAATGGAAAATGGAGCATCCATCACAGAAAGTAGTTTGGCACTTCCTTAGAAAACTGGAAACAGCAATCTCACTAGTAGAAACAATATCACAAAGAAAGAAGAACCAAAAGATTAACAGTTAAATGCATACCATGTTCACTACAGTATTCTTTGTAATAACAACAAAGAGATGGAAGCAACCGAAGTGTCCATCAACAGAAGAATGCATGAAAAAAACCATGCACATTTACACAATGGAGTAAAATGTAATGCTAAAAAATAATAAAGAATTTCACAAACACTTCACAACATGGATGACTCTAGAGGATATCAACCTGAGTGAAATAACTCAGTTACAAATGGCCAAATATTAGGTAAGCTCACTTTTATAAAAAATTAAAGGAAAGGTTTACACACAGAATCATTCTTGAATGGTCACCAGGCATGGGAAGGGGAAAATAGGGGAGCAAAAATTGGAACTAGAGTAATAGGCATATATTATGATAGATGAAGGGAAAGGTAATATTCAATAATATACTGATCAACATAATATCAGTAAAGAAAGGGAAGACACAGATGACACAGATGGGCACAGAAGGATTAAAGTAAAGTTTTGCTTTTCAGGGAGAGGAGCAAACGGGGGGAGGTGAGGTGGGGGGTATGAGGGGGGGGTAGGCGGGGAGAAGGGTGCAACAATGAATGAATGGAATTCCAAAATCTCTGTAGATGTTCACTGAAATGAAAAAGAAATAAATTAAAATATTTTAAAAAAAGTAAAGCCAAATTACAAGGAAAAGGGGAAAAGTGCAAATACACTGTGGATATAGAAACTGTTACTGAATAAAATGCATATGAACAGTTGAGTGAAAAAGTATTCTGCTTCGTAAACTTTGACTCAAAACACAATTAAAACAAAGGAAGAAACAACAAAACCCAAATAAGGTAACTAGACTACTTATCAGGGCATTGGTCACTTTTTCATATCAACAAGTTCAGAGGCAGGGAACAGAATCTCTGTCATCAGAGAAAAGTATCAGTCGTACAGTGCACCTTTTTGGGCCACATAATCTTGCATGAGACAGAGCAATCAGTGTACCACCAGCTGCAGAGTCTTGAAGCACAGAACCAGCAGGAGGGGTGGCTGGCATAAAACAGAGCTCACGTGGAACCAGAGCCCAGCACCTGTGTCAAGGCTTACTGGTGGCGGCATATTTAATAGGAAGAGCTTATTTCATAGGCAGACTTAAAAGAGTTTTATAAGACCAGCCCAAAGCCTCAAGGCTGAAGGCCAAAGGAAGGTTTGCCTGTGAACACACTTGAGCAGAGGCTGTCCTGGCTGAGGAACTCTGGACTGAGTGTTTCCAACCTGGAATGTAGCCTGTGACCTTCCCTAATAACCCCTATAGTCATGATCGCTGCCTGTGAGTTCTGTGTGGTCATTGTAAAGCATCAGTAAGTCTAGTAGTATTGAGAGCAGGGGGAAGGATGGTTTCTGTTGGAACTGGTAGAAGAAGGCATAGGACTGTGGGGACATATCCAACGACTTAAGAACCAGTTTTGTGCAGTGGATGTTTGTGGTGGAGATTCTTCCACCTTGGAGTTAGTGGAAGTCAGATGCCAATGTATCAGTATTATTCACACTGCTTTTACACAGCATTAGGTAATCAAGACTGTTCTTATTTTATCTCATGCCAGATAGAGCTGTGAACATACAGCCCAAAAGTTACCTACTGAAATGGATCATTTTCCTGACCAATAATACTAATTTTAAAGGAACAGAATGAGAAATAACAAAATGAAATTAATGAAAATTGCTTTAGTATTTGATTCAATTTGTGAGAATCTGGATTTTAAAAGTGTTGTAAAGGGGAGATCTATCAAATGTTTACAATAAAATCATTAGTAAATGACAACAATCTACATTTTACGCGTGGAAAACGTTTTGATAAACAGATATGTACCTCTGAGCTGTGAAATCCAGGTGTACTAAGTGGTTTTCGTTCTTCCATTACTACTGCAGCAGAACTGATAGCCCAATCTTTTATTAGATCTTTATGTTTTTCACTGATAATAGGCCTATTATAATCCTGATTGTCATCTACTCCAAAGACCTAGGGGAGAAAATTATTTTATAAATAAAAATGGAAAGCCTGAGTACCAGACTGATATGTGAATATTAGCATTAGCATCACAGGTAAATTAAAATATTCTAAATTCATTTCTGTGGATAATGTAAATAATAATAATAAAAACATTCTAATGACAGGGTAACACCCAACTGGTGTGAAGAAGGGAAAAAAGAAGAAAGTGACAGCTTATATAAACACAAAGCATCTTATTAAAATATAAAGGCAATGAACTATTTTATAAAAATGAGAAATATGGTCAAACACTGAGGCAAAGAGGTAGGAAAAAGTACCTCTTTAGTTTGATTTCAGCTTGTCCCTGAATTGGTTATTAATGAGAAGCTTGCTGAAATATCAGAAGCATATAGTCCCCTCTTGTGCAATTTCCAGTCCCTGAAAACCTGCTGGAGGGTCTGAGTCAGCTCTGACTCAATGGCAATGACCAACATCAAAGCCGACTTGATCATTTTTCCTCTAAATTATAAACACACAGCTAACTTTTTTCCTGTTTCTTCCCTTATAAAAAGTTTAACATTTACATGTGAGTTAAATTTTCACATGTACTTTCTAAAGGGCCCAAATAATAGGTTTAATTGTACGATATCTGTAAATCTCAAACTTTTATCATGGATAGGCACTCTCATTTCAAGCAATCTGACTCAATGGTACACACACACAATAACAAAATAATTATCTAAAAACTTTCATTTGAAATTCAGTTTACTGGAATTACACTAATCAGTATTTTTAATAACTATGTTATCTTCGTGAAAACATGCGAAATATCCTAAATACAGGGACCAACATACTTTCTTAAGGGTTGAATCTGAGTCTTACTCATTTCCTGGAATACAATCAACCCTTGGATGTCAACCACTGCACTGAAGAAGAGTTTGGTTACAGAAGCTTTAGTACTCCATCTTATTAGTAATGTATATTTTGTCCCCAGCACTAATTTCAATCACAAGTAGTTGTGGCTCTGATTACCACAATAATGAAAGGTATTATGCCTTAAAATGAGTAATTTGTAAACAGGTTCCTTGGAACACACTAAGAGCTTACATTTCAATCTCAAAAGAAAAATAACATTTTCTAGAAAACCTGTTAAATAGAAAATAGCTACTGAAGCAGGGGTGGCATCCACTTCCTAAACAATATGCCTCTGGAAACGATGAACTTTGATAACTTATGGTAGCTACAGAAAGGCTTCAGGCCTTTTGTTCAGAGGGTCACTATGAGTTGGGTTCGACTCGATGGCATTGTACAACAACATTTGATAAACAGTGAAATCAACAGTTATTAAAGTAGGTATGAGATTTTAAAAATCACAAAAATGTCCAAATTTTATAATCAGAAGGCCTTAATATGTAGTATTTCATCCAAGTATAACTATTACTTTCAAAAATTAGGATTTACTATTTTATCTAATCATTCACTATTCAAATTATCTTTAAGAACAAATGATAATAACCCTATCAATAAATACATAAACTATAGTAATAAATGAAAATAGATAGTACAAAAGGCAAGATAACCTTTCATTTGTCATATGAGCTAACTGGGATGAGCTAAGTTTAAAAACTAGTAATTAAAAGTGAGTACACAGTTCCATGTCCTCTGCCTTTACACTACTAGTAAAGAAAAACTCATTAAGCCTATTCAAGTTGGCTTTAGTCTTTAAAAAAGAATTAAAATTATTTTCAATGCAAATCATTTTATTCATCTAAATTTGTACTAAATTTGTTTCTTTACAACTAGAGGCGTGTGGGAGGGAACTCTAACTCAAGTTTAGGATCTCTGGCTTTTTGACAATTTGCCTTAAAACCATTTTGCTTCTAAAAGGTCCTAGGTCAATACTAGTTGTAGCTAAATGGTGACTTAAAAAAAAAAAAAAAAAAGAAAGATTTAGAAGATTTCCATTTTCATGAGAAAAGTGAAAGGAAGCTTGGGTGGCCACCTCCTGTATGATTTATGGCTCCTGAAACCTGCCAGAGGGTCAGCTCTGAGCTGCTGCTGACTTGTCAACAAGGAGTTAGTGCTCCATGACTGTTTTGCAACAAGCTACCAAGAGGCAGTGCACATGGCAAGCAGTGACAGTGGCACTATCAGGGTCCTTCTCTGGGGACTACATTCAGCATCTGAATGCTGAGAGAACTCTCAGTATTATAGCTGTGAACTATTCTGACACTATATATATTAATGTTATTTTAGGTTTTATGTATTATTTTGTAAGATATTTTTGAGGGGTCTAGGACTGCTCAAAAATGTTTCCTTTATAAATGAATCATAATTGCTTGTTTTCTGTCATTCTGGATTACAAAAGGTTTCATAGGAACACAGGTTCCAATCTTTTGTTCACAGAATCACTAAGAGTAACGGTCAACTCCAGGGCACATACTTGTAGAGAGCAGAGGACATTTGTAAAAGGCAACACTAAGCAGATGTGCTCATAACCCAAAGGCATGCCATTAGCTCTGAGGGAGAAAGATGAGCAATCACTTCCTGTGCAATTCACAGCCTCTGAAAACCTGTTAGAGGATCAACCATGAATCAGTTCTAATTCAGTAATGAGTGAGTGAGGGATGTTGAACATTTGTCTGTCTTTTTTTTAAATTTTTTAAAATTTTATTTTCATGAAAGTTTACAGAGACTTTGGATTTCCATTCATCCCTTGTTGCCCACTCCTTCCCCCAATTCGCTTTTCATTTTGAAAAGTAAAAGAAAAAATTCTTTCATTGTTAGTCAATTCCTTCCCCTCAAGTCCATTCCACTATGCTACCTTTGTCCTGGACTCCTGTCATAACAATAATATCTAATCATATATCCCTTTTAACCCATTCTCTCCCTCATCTGTTTCAATGCAGTATACATTATTTATTCCCTCTTTCTCAGTCTCCCCCCAACCCTTATGTCAGCCCCATTTTACAACAGTAGCACTATGCAGTAGTTGTCCTTTTGTGAATGAGATTTTTCACTCAGCATAAAGTCCTCCAGGGTTATCCATTTTGTATATTATTTCATAAGTTCCTTATTTTTCAATGCTGCATAGTATTCCATTGTGTGAATATAGCACAGCTTCTCTATCCATTCATTTGCTGATGGCCACTTGGGTTGTTTCCAACTCTTTACTACTGTGAACAAAGCTGAAATAAACATAGCTGTGCATGTCTACCATTTTAAAGTAACCTCAATGTCTGGAAAACGTGAGGGTCAGTGAAACAAAGGAAGACCCTCAATGACAAGAGCAGCACAGTGACAACAACAATGGACTTGAGGATGGCAGAGATTGTGAATATAGTACAGGACAGGGCAAAGGTTAAATCTGTTGTTCACAGGGTTTCTATGAGGTGTAGTGGATTTGATGCACTTAACAATGATAACAGCAACAATCTTTTCAAATTTAACGAAGTACATAGAATCTTTCTGTTGTCATGAGCTGTCAAGTCAGAACTGACTCAGTTACTCTGTGGAAGAGAGATGAGTAATTGTCTCCCATGCAACTAACCACCTTGGAAAACCTGCTGGAGGGTCAGTTCCCACTCAACAGTACACAACAACACTGCCACCACATAAAATCTGGTATGTGACCTAACAATTGACAGAAGAACCTGAGAAGTCTTCAAGACTGAGACCAGAATTATTTGGTTTTGAGTCATTTCATCTTGTACCCAAGAAGCAGAACTAGCGATGCCAGGTTAAAGACGAAGACATGCCTGATTCAAGCCATGGACTTTTCAATTACTTCCTATACTTCTGGAAGTTGGACAATGACTAAGGATGACAGAAGAGTACTGACTATCCTATGGACTGCCAAAAGAATAATATAGCTTGGAAAAGTGTGGCCAGGGTGTTCCTTAGAGGCTAGAATAGTGAAACTTGGTCTCATATACTTTGGGCATGCTGTGAGGAGTGGCTAGAACTTTGGGGGAAAGATACCATGCTTGGAAAAGCATACAGTCAGTTAAAGAGGAAGGCCCTCAACAAGAAGGTTTGACATCGTGACTGGAGCATTGGGTTCAAATATATTAGGGATAGTGAGGATAGGACAGGGTTCAGGATAGGACGCTGCACACAGCGTTCCTATGAGTTGTAGCTGACTTAAATGGCACCTAACAGCAATAAAATTCACTTACCAAAACTATCTACTTACTCTCAAAGGTATTCAATGCAGTATTTAACACCGAGCTCATGGTTCTTTTCCCCTCTACCCAGTCCTGTGACTTGGTTTCAATCAAAGCCCAAACTTGATTCACAACCCTTCCCCGCCCCAATATCCTTCTTACCAGCTAGAGATTTCAAGCTGAAGCTAGGAGACTGAGTCAGATTGTCATGTTCTACCAGAACTCACTCTCCTTAATTTGCCAGTTATTATCAATTAATAATTTGCTAGCAAAAACAAGGGTGAACATCCCCTTTTGGCCATGCTCTGTCTTGGCTCTCTGGGGTTGGCAGACGCCAGGAGACTTTATATCGGGGCTAACAGTACCTTTCAAGTGTGTTCTTTACTTTGTTTCCTTGAGCTTAAATCCAAACTCAACCCACAGCCTTGGAGTTGGTTAATACTCAGAGGGACCCTCTGTTGGGTTTCCAACACTATACATTTGTACATTTTCCTCTTGTTGAGTCAGTCATCTGTGGGTTTGAAGCACCAACCTTTTAGTTAGCAGCCCAATATATTATGCATTACACCACCAGGGCTTGACCCAGCTAGATCAAAACGACACATCTATTTTGGCAAGCAACTTGTGCTTCCTCCCACTCTCCTCATGCCATTCTAAGAACAATGGCACATTTTTTCTTTGAATATCCACATGTGATGATTTGGTATCATAAATGTTAACATCTTATTTTTTTTTGAGCACTAAGAAGTATTTATTGTCTGCCAATCACACATTCTACAAGAATCATTGATAAATTACCCTTACAACAGAATCTTTTATCGATATTAAACAAAGAGATGAGTTTACATATATAGATGAAAAATC